TGAACCAGAGCAGGTCAGAAGATGGGGCAGCCTTAGAACTTAAGAAGTTCTGGCACAGCATCTTGCTGCACCTGCAACATGCTTCACTGCCTTTTGTGCCTACAGTTAGAAATGGGCATGGGGATGCCTCATCCTCCACACACCTTAACCACATACCCTCATCTTCAATATATGTAGAACTTAATCTGTGCTGAAGTAAGAATTTTGCACCTGCTCATCTTTCTTAAGCAGGAGCTGGTCAGGATGAGGTGGCTGAAGCCACCAGTGTAGGAAGGACCTGCCATCCTGCAATGTGGTTCTAGGCAAAGAGGTGGTAAACTTCTGACTATTCCCCAGCCTGTGGCCCTGTTGGCTTTCCTTCTCAGCAGAAGCAAAACTGCAGGGAAGGGCTCTGTCACTGTCACCAGCTGCGTTGGGGGGTGGATTGGCTTTTTTATGGTTTAAGAAATTAGTGACGGCTTTAAAATTTCCACTATTTAAAACAGAAATTTCCCCCCATGCTATATCTTGCTAACACAAGAGGCTGAAAAAAGCCACATTGTCAAACAAAAGCTGGTTCCTGGTTCCATTCAAGGGAAACACAGGCCTAAATTCATGGAAGTGGTGGAAGAAAAAGAAATTCTCTCCATATTTTACCTGGTAGCTGAGGGGCTTAGGTACCCACCCAGAAAGTAAGAGGCTTTTGAGTCTGTTCCCTCCTCTGCTTGAAGTATGTGCATCACCTCTCTCTGACTATTCCTGTACTCACTGATCTGCCTAAGTGTCCTCTTGTTGATAATGCCTGATGTGCTAGTAACAGAAAAACAAAGGATGTGAATGTCTGAAAATGGGACAGTCCCCTTGCATTTAGATGCAGAACTGCAAACACAAAGAGCTGGGTTGCACTCCTGACTTTGTGTGTAGTTCTGTGTGCCAATTATCAAGCTGCTCTTTCTCCATCTCAAAACTGTAACGAACATGACCTCGCGTTTCTGGGCTCCTTGATTAGGGAAATCTAAATCATTGCAGTTTATCCCTGGATCATTGTAAAAACGCAGTATGAATACTTGAACAATTCACGTAGTTAAGAAAACTGATAAAGAACCCATATTTTTTAGAATACCACATTTGCAAGGGTTATTTTGCTGTGGGTATCACTTAGAGGAGCTGACCGTTTTCTGCACCATCCACAGCTTTGTCTGTGTCACTAAGTACCAGTTTTATACCAGGATGAAAAGATAGTCATGAGAACTTAAAACCTCTGCTCTATTTCAGATTATTAGATACTGCAGAGGAGGAGAAGGCCCAATCTGGGTGTCAGGTGAAAATAAGCCTGAAGAAAAAGATATCCCAAATTGCTTATGTGGTGCCAAAAGGATTTTTGAATTCCAGGTATGCAAACTCATTTAATAATAGTACAGGTAATGTATTTCAGACTTAACAGGATCTAATTGTATAGGTATTGGCTTATAATTAGAGCAAGGTGGTCAGTGTTGCTATAAACTGTGCTAAACTATTGTAGAGAGCCTTTACTTACTATTGTAACTGCCTTTTCCCACAATAATTTAATGTATACAAGGCAGGTTCCCATCAGGTAATTTGCACTATCCATAAAATGGTGCACTTGTGGCTTTGGCATAATCTCTTAAGTACTAGGAGTCTGGAACTGTATGTTTAAAGAAAAAAGAAAAGCCTTCATGATGTGAATTGTAAATGTGTCTGTCTGGAAGTATTCTGAATGCTAGAAGTGTATCTATGGTCAATACACTTCATGTCATGCAAAGGCAAAACAGAGTTAGGAAGGTAATTTCAAATGGAGGAAGGCTCACAAATTGGGCAAATAAAACTTCTACAGATAAAATAGGGTCATGCCTTTGATGCCCTGGGCGTCTGCTACGCTGCTTTGGGAGTTCCAGATTGATTTTATTTGAGCCGCTGCACAGATTGTAGCTTCAAGTGGTATTTCAGTGTAAGAGAACAAATTCTGTTACACCAAATGCAGAGCTCTTTTTCAGGAAGAGATGCAGGGAGAGGGGAGAAAGCTGTGGTCTGCTTCTAAACCCTCTGTTTTTCCTTGCAGATTATGCCACAGCTCCTGAACCACCTTCAGGTTGACAGCCTTGGAGAGAGCATTGACTGGGGAACACTGGTGGTGTACACTTGTGCTGACAACTGCGGTGAGGGAGACAAATACCTGGAAGAGTTCATATGGAAACAAGACTATGCTGCAGGCCATATTTAACCAAGCTGAGTCACCTAAATGGAATACTTGCCTTGTTTCAGTGCATCTCTGCACTTTGCAAGCAGGTAATTCAACTAAAGTCACTGATAACTGTGGATCTTGTAACAGTGATAAAACTACTATAAGTAGTTTTATAGTAGCTACTCGTGTAAGTAGTAGCTTGACACACTCTCTCTTGTGCTCCAGAGGAGCTTTTACTCCGGCCTGGTAATGAAGCCAGATGTATCTGTTCAGTGAGTTTCATTTTAAATCTCATTTCTGAATGTTTAAATAAATATGAAATACTTTTGGATTGATGAAATTCTCTTCTTGTTGGCGATGGAACTTCTAAAAATGAAGATAGTTGTCTGTCAGGATTTTCTTTGCGCTACTCAAAAATTAGCATTCATTCAGAGAAGAGCAGACTACTGTAAACTCACTTGAGTGCTTATGCTCAGGAGGTGTACAGGAGCCTTAGCTAAGACCAAGCTGTGTAGCCTTTTGCTGTGGAACTTAAATTTGCTGTTCTGATTGAGTGGGTTACTCGAGCTAAAATGCACAAAAAATGTTTTCTCTGAATTAAAACTATTAACCCTATACAGAAACAGTTTAACTCAGTTATCTTGTGCAGAAGCAGTTTAAAGAAAGTCAGAGCATACCAGAGCACATTTGTATTGTTACATACTGCCTGTAGCAGCAGAGTTTCAAGCTGAATCGTACCTTAACTGCCATCTTTGAAGAGGTTTAAAAATAAGTGCTCTCTGCAGTGATTCTTCTGCTACTTAACTGCCAGGTAGCTGAGGTGAGAGAATAGTGAAATCCTAATGCCGAGTTTACTTTGGTAGTTGCTTAAGTACTTCTATGGCTATAGCTACATTTACAGAAAATGCTTTTTTGTCTGTGTCAGTATAGACTTGACTTCAGTTACATATTCCCTGATCCTGCTCAAACCAAACATGTCTGCTTACCAGTGATTCTGAAAGTGATTTTATGAAAGCCCTAGGCCCGCTATGGGGTTTTTGAAGTCATTTAAATGTTGGATATTAATCATTTAAATGCTGGAAAAGTTGAAGGAGGAGAAGTTCAGGTTAGATATTAGGAAAAAGTTTTTTACTGTGAGGGTGGTGAGACACTGGCACAGGTTGCCCAGGGAGGCAGTGGATGCCCCAGCCCTGGCAGTGTTCAAAGTCAGGTTGGACGAGGCCTTGAGCAACCTGGTCTAGTGGGGAGGTGTCCCTGCCCATGGCAGGGGGTTGGGACTAAATGATCTATAAAGTCCATTCCAACCCCCAAAATTCTATGATTCTATGAAATACTCAAATGAGCAGGCAGAAAATGCTGTACCTGCAAGCATTTTTGTCACCACAGGACTTAATTTCTAGAAGGGTAGTTTTAAGCCTTGGGATGTGTCATGAATCAGCAAAGAGCATCTTAAGTCACTGTAGTGCAGCTCAGCTGGCTTTATTGAAAACCATCCCACAGTTACTTAAGGGTCCAAGCTTTCCTGGGAAGTTGAAGAGTTTTGTAGATAAGTTCAGAGTCCTGCAAAAGCATGGATGGTCAAACAGTTATGGTCAGTCAAGAACACTCAGGAATGCTCATGAGCTCACACCATGGAGTGTCATGGCACTGAAAGTGATGCAGCGTTTGAGTATCTTGAACTTATCCTGGCACAGCTACACGATTAAACAACCTTTTTCTGGTAAGATCCATGAAACCAATTATTAAAGTAGCTGGGGAAACACTGGTGTAGAGAGAAGACTGAAGATTAAGGTCACCTAGGATTTGCAAATGGAGCAGTGTCAAAGCCAGCCAAAACTTCAATTTATCTTGAATGAAACACCATCTTAGTAGAGAGAGTGTGGTTTACATTTGAGTTAGTTTTAGATAAAAGCTGTTTGAAATAATGTGCAAATCATGGAGAGGTTACTACTAGTGGATATTTACTGAAGTAAAAAGTTTATTTTTAGTTCTCAGCCCATTAAGCTTCAAGCACAGTTCAGAAGGAGATTATGTACATACTGACTCTAGTCGAAAGGGCTTTGCCATTTTACAGGAACACTAATATAGTGAGACTGTCATAGCTGGTAAAATACAAAAGTAGTAATTTAAAGAAATTCTAGAAGCTAAGCAGGGATCTTTTTGTCCCATTTAGTCAAGTGTAGCCATTTAAGACTTGCCTAAATCCCATCTGTTGAACAGAAGGCAACACGAACACAAACTTCTTTAACCAGTCATCTCTTTAGCTTTAACACGCTGGAAATACTCAAAGTAGACATTGCCAAGGCTGTGACTGCTGGTAAGCAAGCCAGAGCATTGTTAAGATTCTCTCAAAATGACAAGTCACTTACAGCAGTTCATGTGCTAGTAAGAAATCCAGATTAAATGTTAAAAAGATTAAAAAAAGTCCAATGTATTTCACTCTACCAGCTGGGTAATTTTAAAATTTATTAAGACATTTCCCATACTTGTATAAACAGGGTTTATTGTACATGTGGAGTTGAAGAAGGAAAGAGAAGAAAGGTATATATTATATATATATGTACAGTGAGCCATTTTCATTAATAAATTTATTCTATCTTGCTTAATACTGGAAAGAGGGAATGTGTCTGGCACCAAAGAAATTTAAAATTGAAAAAAATTTAAAAGCTAAAGTTCTGAAAATTATAAAAACCATGGTCTTATGGAAGGAAGTTAAAACATATATACATGGCAATTGAAGTGGTTTATACACTGAGTGACACAGTTGCATTTGTCTTTAAACCAACTTACAGATCTTCTATTAATAGAACTGGCATTAAAACTATTTAAAAGCTAGAATATAAATAAAAATTGGAGGGGCTGATCCAGGAACAGCCCAGTAAAGCAACTCACAGTAACTCAGTAGACATATTCAAGAATACAGTTCCCCTTGAGCATCAGGGAAGTAGGCACTAACTGGGAAATAGTCCAAGTCCTGGTGTTGCAGTTGCACTGGAAGTCCATCTCTTGTTACTGCTGTGCCATACACAATACCTTGTAAAATATACCCCTGATTTCTCTGAAACATATAGAAACTGTTATGTTGTCTTTCTGAATCCCTTTAAAATAGGATAGATGTTTTCAAATGCTTCATAGATTTCTGCTCGTACTTTAGCACCTGGAAAAAGAGAGGGAATTAAGTTACTTTGTACCTTTCACCAAATACTTATTTTCAGCTTTTAGCATGTTGATTTGACTGCAACTCTGTACAAACCTATGTACATCCATAAATCCTTATTTTTACGTCTTTTTTTGAACACATTCCATAGTGAGCATACATAACCAGCCTTCTGGCTGTTTAGTCTGACAACTGTTAAAACTTTGATTAGCATCTCTGTGCTGATGCTATACTTGCAAATGGGATTTTCCTATACATAATTTCCACAGGAGACCCAACTACAAAGCACAGACCTGCAGGATGTTTCTGCAGAAAGGCCTAACTGGTGGAGCTTCTTTTGAGAGTGTGAACATCTGGGGGAGGAAGGTCTGGCAATGGAGACAGCAGCAGAGGCCTGCTACACCCCATACTGCAGGGACATGATCCTTCTTTTGTCTGAGAGTCTTGTGGGTTTGTTTCTACATAGTATGACACAGCATGAGGGGAAAAGGAAGGCTGTACGTGGAATGCCTGAGACTGAGGAGGTTGTAGAGCTCAGGTACCTCTCCTTTTTGGCTGCTGTATAATGAGAGAATGGCAGCAACCTCCAGCCAAGCTGCCAAAGAACAGCTAGCTCAGTCACACATACTCAGCCCACAGAAAGAGTCTTTCAGATTTTGTCATAAAGTTTACCTGCACTCTTACAGTTTCTTGGGCATCTGCATACTTGATTAGGATTTGTGATCAGTTCATATGAATCTATCCCAAACATGCTGTTGCTTTGTGGGTTCTCAACCACAGAATACTAACTCTTCTTTCTCAGGACAGTCATCTCTAAAAGAAAGTACCTGGCAGCTCACATGCCTCTGGTGTCACCATGTGTTCTCTGCAACACACTCTAAATCTCACCTATTGGAGTAAGATCCTGTCTTCACTTACCAGTTAAAACCACTTTTCCAGAAACAAAAATAAGCAGCACAATTCTTGGCTTGATCATTCTGTAGATTAAGCCAGGAAACAATTCTGGCTCATAGCTGTAAGAGAAGAGAGTGACAGTGTTTAAATGTGCTCGCAGACACACACTCCACCATATCATCTGCGGGACTGGGCAGAGCAGACTTCAGTGAAACTTGCAGAGGGTAGCAGGGAAAATGGTTTTGATGGGTTCATATTTGGCAGCCTCAGTTAGACGTGAGGCAGCACAGAGATGGGAACAAAGACGCAGATTTCCCTGTGGTGCAAGGAAATAATCCAAACAGATGTCACTCTTCAACTAGTGAGTATGCAACAAGAATGAAAC